GACAAGTATATATATATATATATATATATATATATTATTTCATTATTTTTTATGGCATTGTGTATTTTTGAGAATGCTCTGCACAAATCAAAGTGAGCAATAAATGTTTTTTTCTCTTTTAGCAGTAGTTATGATGAGAATGTATTTTAATCAAATTAAGTATGATCTAACCTTTAATTATCATGAACAAAGCACTTAAAAAGCTTTAGTTTTTCTAAGCAGTTTTTCTTTCAGCATAAAATGACCTTATTATATTTTAAACCATATAGTAATTCACAGATATATATATAAAACCATGGATTTATTCACAGATTAAACGTAAACGTCATTTTAAAAGCAGCACATCACAAAATAATTTCTAAGCTGTCACACAACTACAAATCAGATATGATACGGAAAAAAAATACATTCATTAGATTTTAAGAAGAAGTAACAAAACATGAATTAATTGAATATGAAAACCACCAGTTTAGAGAAGGACATCATGAATAGGTAGTGGAAGTAAAAACATTAACTTGATTTGTCAAGTAACTATTAAGAAAACAAACTTACCTTAGACAGTTTTAATTTATTAGGATCAACAAGACTATAGCAGCCTTTACTACTTTTTGCAAAAGACGACCAACCCCATGATGTTCCCACATTTCGAGCTAAACAAGAAAGAAGGAAAATAAGGTAACGGAAAATTGCTTTTCATTCATACTGTCTATAATTTAGCTAAAATAAACTGATTAAAAACACACACACAAAATTGAAAATAAATAAGTAAATAAAGCATAACGAGACTGTGCTTGGCCCCACATCTGATGTATTAAGGAATGGTCATATATACACACCAGTATTTTTTCTTCTGTCTCGGTTATCAGGCACCCTATTTTGGAAGGGTTTGTTCTGCAGAACCCAATCATTCTAAAAGACAAAAGCAAATTTAAATGCTCAATTTTAAACCTCAAGCAAAACTTAAAGTATAGTTATTTGTTAGGGCATTAGATGACATACCCTTCTTAAATCTATAACATCTTGCAACATGAACCTGACCCTAGAACCAGTTAAACGCTTGTCTACTATCTTTTGCATTTGTGTGAAATAATTTTTCATCTGAAAAAGAGAGATTGCCAAAATATGGGTTTAAAATAGAAGCGAAAAAAGTATTTTGAGAAAATATGCTACAATAATGGTTAATTACAATAAATATTACATCAATAACAGATTATGAAAATTAAACAAACAAATTTATGTAATTCATTTTGGTAAAAATTTAGGCAAAAAATTTCAAATCATTTCTTGTTATTTAACTTAATAGGATAAATTTTTGAATTGTAATGCGTAAAATTTTTTGCATCATATTAAATATAGTGATATAGTCACGAGTTTTTTAAAAAACAAAAAATAAGCACTTTTTAAAAATGCAACACCCAGCTATCTCTAATAACGTCACCTTTCATTTATCTCGATTTTCAAGTACGATACTTTGATTCAGGGCCACAATATAGTGAAGTAAAATTTACATTGTCAATAAAAAGTAACTGAAAATTACCTTAAAAAACATAAAATGGAAATTCAATTCTATTAGCAAGGTGTGTCACAATTACATTGATAACAGAAAAAAAGTATGGCAATAATTCCTTAAAATTTATTTTAAGCAAAGTTGAATGTACATATTGTGTTGAAATTTACAGCGGTGCTATTATAATCATTTTCCATACTTGCAACTACACAGAATTTATATTTATAAAATCCTCACAAATAATGAAATAATTTTTCAAAAAAGCTTATGCACATTGCAAAGTAATAGTACTTAAGTAAACGATAACAGAAATGTTGTTAAAATCTAATAAAACCCAACTAATTATTAGAAACCCTCCAAATAGGATGAGGCAATCTCAAGTGGTTTTGACAGATCTCATTCTGAGTTCCTAGTTACTAGCTAATATCAAAGTTTTTTTCATTTTTTCCACATTTAAATCAGATAGTACCAATCTACACACTTTTTCGACAAAGAATGCAGAATCGACAAGGACTAATCGGTATAAAGGTCTATTATTCTATGAATCTGAAAGTATGTGTTTAATAAGCTTTTTCAGTAAAAATTTTAATTAATTTGAAGATAAGTTGTCTTTTTAAACTTATATTACTTACAAGAACATTTTTCCTCACATTTTATTACAAGTATAAGCGCAGATCAAAATAAAAGCAAAGAACACTTACCATACTTTCTTTTGAACCTTTAACTTTTCGATCATCTAATTCTTTACCAATCGTTTTCAGCAATTGACACAAGCACTCAAGTGATTCTTCATCTCCTTGGGAGATGAGCCTCTTTATGTATTCATGCATGATTGGTTCAGTTAACATTTTAAGGCAAAAGAGTTCGCCAATAAATCTAAAAAAAAGGACAATTGTAATGTACTTTAAATTTGTTCTCGTATACATAAAATTTAAATTGAAAATATTAACAGCCAATATTTAAAACCAGGACTTTTGATCCTGCTCGTCTTTTATTGAAAATCGATATGGGCCATTCTCACTGAAAAGGTATAAATAGACTAAAAAATTTTCATAAATTAAAGTAATTAAAAAAGTGATAAAAATTACATAAATGCCTTTATTTATTTTTGTTATATGTCCTCATAATAATGGTCAAGTTTTCCATTTTATTTTTTTACAAGATTTAAAATATTTTAAATACTGCCTTGTCCGCGGAGGAGATGTAATAGTCAACGGAAGAGACATTTTATGTTATAAAATATAAAATGTTAATTAAGGCTAATTCATTAATTATTGGGTACAACTCATATGAGTTTAACATTAATATGTAAATAATAAAATAGTTCATTATTAGAGATAGAGCTACTTCTGATTAATCATGCTGCTATGAAAGGAAACATGCATTCTTAAACTAATTGATTTTCTTTAAAAATACAAACAAATTAACACATTTGTTCCATTTTAAAAAATATCAATTAAAGGAAATAGTTTTTTAATTATTGAAATTATATTATGGTTATCTAACACATTGTCTCTTCCAATGACTTAACAAGTCCACGGAGGAGACAAAAACTAGTTCTTGAATTTTTCTGATTTTTGTTTTTAAAGTTACAAAAATGGCACAGTTCTTTTTTATTAAATATACTATTTTTGCAATCTAAAATTTATCTATCAAAAATAAAATAATTTTCTCTTACCTTCTTTATGAAGTCCACGCAGTATACATTGAGAACTATGCCAAACCCCAGTTGAACACAACAATCCGAAACTGACACCAAAGAGAACAAAAACAACTGATAGTTAACATTAGAAAATAGAATGGTTACCTTTCCCACCAGCTGTCTTATAGGAATTTCGCATATGCTGCCCTTTGCATATTTACCGAACTATATTAATTGTCCATGGAGGAAGACATCATTTTTGATGGACAAAGTTTACTAGTCATTTATTTTATAAAAATAATTTTTTTTCTTAAATATTAAATAAAAAGTTACTATAAACATTTAACTAGTTAAAACCACAAAAATAATTAAAATAATATTTAAATTGTTTAAAAGCCATTAAAAATTATTTTGTGTCGCAGAGGTAGGGACGTCCACGGAGGGGATTTTGAAGTTATGTTTATTAAAAAATAAGAATGAAATATTAAATACATTTAGCAGAAATGCATATGATTGGTTAGTTAGAACTTTACGAAAAAGGATGAAGAAAAATATTAAGAAATTTGCTGTATTTCCTAATATTTATTACTAAGGGACTTAAAAAAGCACCTTTTTGTGAGAATGACCCATATGCTGACTATGGGTCTTGAAAATTCGTTTAACAAACGAATTTTCAAGTCTGATGAGAATGACAGATATGATAAACTATGATAATAAAAATAAAAACAGATCAATAAATTTTTTGATTTTCCTCGCATAATTTTCAATTAAAATAAGTTATTGTTTTTTTCCCTGTAAAATCATTAAAATCATAGCCACTAATGCATACAAATAATAATCAGTTAGGTGATTCACTTAACGATTGCGGGAGGAAAAAGAACTTAATCAGAAGGGTTTTTAATTAATAAAAATCTAAACACTTATAAAAACATAATTTTTTTAGCATATGGTTAAATGAACTATGTAAGTGTTTTTTAATATTTAGCATCTGAATGTTTTTTCCTTCATTTTTATGTGAAGTATTCTTCTTTCAAAATTTTTTATGACAAATTGTTTTAGGAAATAAAATTCTGCAGAAATAAATAAAAGTAGGAATTAGTGTTTCCTTTTAGTCACAAAACTATAAATAATATATGATTATAATGTTTTCAATAAACTGTAACAAAAATTTGAAATTCGTCAATAATTTTTTAGGAGTTCAAAAAGCATGAAAAAAATTGCTTTTCATTAAAAAAAAAATAACGATGAGTTCACATCTACAGTAGAGTCTTGATTGTTTGAGTTCTAAATAAATCTGAGCTAAATAAGTATTGCTCCCAAACAATGACCAACGCACAAACACAACACTTGGAATGATAACTATGAGTGAATCATGAAAAACAAATTCGTGTATTTATGTTTCTAAACAAAAAAAAAACATTAGACAATTACTTCAAAATATAATTAAACTGATGCAGTAATATAATGAATATTTTAACTTGGTGTAATGCAGTATAAGTAATGATCATCTAATGTAAGTTTCTTTAAATATATCTTTCACTTGAATACTAAAATTTAAAAATGGCTTTATTTCCATTTATTTAAATATTTAAGTTTTAAATTTTCGATAATTCGAGTTTTCAAAAGTTCGAGGTAGGTTCGGTGCCGTCCACTCCGAATTATCTAGACTTTACAGCATAGTATCGGCCTCTGATCTTACTTATTTACTTACTTATCCTCTACGTGCCTTTGGGCACTTAAGGCCTCTAGCATATCCCTCCAATGCCTCCTGTCTCTAGCAATAGATCTTGCTTCCTCCCAGCCAAATATTCTATATTCTTTTAATTCCCCCAAAAACATGCGCTGGATGGTAAGTCGGATCTTCCTCTTGTTCTTTTACCATCAGGGGCCCATGTAAGCGCAACAGATGTAATTTTTTCTTTGGGCATTCTAAGGATATGTCCGAGCCAGCTCCATCTTCGTTTTTAAATTTTATCTTCTATTGTTTTTATTTTAGCTTTCTTTAATAGATTTTGACTTGATACTTTGTAAGGCCAGAAAATTTTAAAAATCAATCTTAAACATTTGTTTTGAAAGGATTCTAATTTTTGTATTTCGATCTTAGTCTGTTTCCAAGTTTACGCGCCATAACTACTGCTCTAACAATAGCTTTGTAAACAACTATTTTTGTTTTATTTCAATATTTGACTCTCTCCAAAATTTATGTAATCCCTTAAAACATGTTCTTGCTTTGATTATTCTCTGTCTAATATCTTCGCTACTTCCACCTTTNCTGTTGAAAAAGCCAACACTCTACAATAGAAGCTAAATGACTATGTCATCTATTTCGTGATTTTCGATTTTAATTTTGTCATTTTTCGTTTGATTTATTCTCATTACTTTAGTTTTCGTCTTGTTTATGAATAAACCTACACTATTTGAATATTTGTTGAATTTCTCTGTTTTAAGCTGAAGGTCTGTACATTTGGATGAAATAAGTACGATGTCATCAGCAAAATCAAGGTCTTCTAAAGTAGTTGCGAAATTCCACCTTATTCCTCTTTTTTCATCTTTCAAGCTGTTTCGCATAATCCAGTAAATCCTGATAAAACACATCCCTGTCTCACGCCAGTTTTTACCAAAAAGAATTCAGCGGCCTCTGATCTACATTTTGCTTAATATCAGATATTGCCAAATTTTTGAATTTTAATTGCTACTTAAAATATATAGCTGAAAATTAGAAAAGAGTTTAAATTATTTTAATATTTTACTATGTGATCATCAAATTTACAATAAGAAAAAAAAACTTCATCAATAAAACAGCTTGTTACACTCTTAACACTATGAATCAATTTAAATTTAACATTTTAGTCATGGTAATTCAAATATTAAAGAAAAAGAATAGACTCTCTTAAGCAAAATAACACAAATATTTGTTCTTATTTTTAGCAATTCGTAAGATATGAAGTAAAATTGTATACAGTTTTAGTTTCTTAAGGATATTTAATATGCAATAAATGCAAAAGTTATAACTTTTTTAGTGTATGAAATAATCACCTTATATAGCCGAGCCGCCTATATCTCATTTTATTATCTTCATCATACATTTTCTGCTCTAACTCTTTCTTTTCTTCCTACAACAGAAGAAATTTTAAATGAGTTTTAATTCTTAACTACTTAATATCCGCCACTTCTTCGGCAGAACAGTTTTTCTAGCTTATTATAATAGTTTAACTCACTGGAGCAGCTTCTTCCAGGGCCTTAACCCTTTCCTCGTGTTTCAATTCATCACGCCTACCCTCTTCGAATTCTTTCTGGCACTTTCTTAAGAGAACTTTACGGAAATTCACATAGTCCTTATTTTTAGTGGACACTTTAATCTATTTAAAAAGCAGATAAATTTAGTTCAACACATTTTACGATCATTTTATTCAAAATTAGTTGGCTTACCAATGCCAAATGCTTGCACATGTTTGCATAGAGGAAACTGGAGTTTGGCTCGGCCGCAGCTTCCTCAAATATTAAATCAGTGACTGTGCACAGTTTTTCTTCAGTGTCGATGTTAAGATTTTTAACTTCAGTCAAAAGAGTTTCAAACTCTTGTGGCGTAAGTCTATTAAGGATCCCTTGGACACTTCTTTTAAGTTTCTCTTTTTCCTATTAATAATTAAAAAAAATGAAAATCATTACAAGCTTGTATATATTAACTTCGTTAAATCTAACATTAAAGCAGCCTGTAGAGTGAAATTAAAAAATTTAAGTTGAGACAACGGAAAACAATTAAAAAATGTAAATGTTTCAATGCTCATTTTGTTAACACTTTTTTTTACTTAAAGCACAATTTCAAAGACAAATAAAACCTGATAACATCCAACAGATAAGCATAAAAAGCTAATTTATATTCTAATAGAATGAAGGCTCAATGAATTTGTAAGTATGACTTGTGTATTTATTCTAAAAAATGTAATGCAACAAAGAGTAGTTATAATCAACATCATAAGGGGGGAAAGAAATTTACAACAGATTGTGTAAATTTCTATTTATTAAAGGTTTTTTTTTAAATGTTGCTACTCTGCCGATATTTTTGGCCGAATATTCGGTAGTAGGCCAAGTCACTATTCGTTAGAGCCCTAATTGTCCTCCTATAGCGAATTTTTAGATAGCCTAAACTTTTTAATATTGGTGGATTTTTTTTATAAATTTATGTCTTATTTTCTTCTTTTTTTAAAGAAAATTGCATTTAAAAGTTGGATTTTTTGAAGGATCTATTCACTTCCTTCTATGGGAGCATTATTCATTTCAATGAAATGACTCAGCCTAAATGCTCCTTCACAAGTGCAACACTTCATTTTAAATTAAAATTCATTTATATACTTTTGAACTTATGACATTGACTCAAATTTTGCAATATTTATTTAAATGCCTAAAAAAAGGGAAGTTCAATAAACATGAACTGCCAATTTCTCGCCTTCTCACTTAGACACATGAAATAACAATATTAATCAAAGGATAGTATAGATAAGACGATTAAAAACCTTCACTACAACCAGGTGTTCACTAAATCTAGAGCTCATTATTACGGAATTAGGCTGTATAATGAATTAAAAATTAATTTCGATAACTTATTAAAATTTTCGAATTTAATTTGATTATCCAAGAAATTAATTATCTTACAAACATGCAAAAATTCTTTACATTAAAAATACAAAACAATCAAACATACAAGATCTAACTGGCCACCAGCGACATCTTGCTTGTAGAAAGGTTTCCAAGCATTATCAGCTTCGTGAAGTTTAACATTTTGAGAAAGGGATATAACTTTCCTGGTTTTAGAATCTCTACCTTGGAGACTACGTCGATTAGCATAATTGTTCATCTGGGGCTGTGAAGACACAAGAACTTAGTTTAAAATATATAATCATCTTTTAAACATATTTGCATAATAACTTATATGTATATTAAAAAACAAATGAATTGCTTTCGACATCTTTCTACGCTTTTTTATAAAAAAAAAATTAGTCTTATCTAACAATTAATTTTTTATTTAAAAAGTTAAATGTCAAAATACTTCAACTCAATTCCTAAACAGCAAAGAAGAATCTCTTCAGAAATTTAAGCATTATGAACTTAATCCTCTGCTTACAGCTGCTACAACTAATTTGCCAGAATGTTAAGCAACATACTCAAAAGGTTAAAATAACAGCTTAATTTGCAATCGAAGAAGAAAGTAATTTAATTTAAAAATAGTATTTTTAACCGTATTTGTCTAAGTGTCTTAACTTTCTAAATTTAAAAAAAAATCAACATTTAATTTTTAAAAAGAGAAAAAAAAAGCATTTCAAGAATATTATTAACAGAAATATGAGCAAAATATGTTTGAAAACATACCATTTTAGGTATTCCTCTTTGTGCAAAAGTTGGTATAAAGTGATCTCGGAAGTTAGGCATTACAGGCACTTGTCTGTTGACTTCATTCAACTTCTGTATATGATCCTATGAAATAAAAAGTATATCAATTAAAAGTACTTGAAATCCTACCTTAAAAACAGTATCGTCAATAATGCAGGATTTTTCAATAAAGAGTCTAACAGATATATTACTTATTGTAAATTTATGTCCCTCAAATATGTAGAAAAAATGAGAATCTTATTAACTTTAAGTTACAATCTTTAAAAGCAAAGCTAAGCAATACATATAAGGATAAAATTTACTGCACCTAATATTTCATAGGGCAAAAAATATTTCTTAAATACTAGAGGAATAATATTTTTTTAATTCTTACTTTTGAATATTAAACATATGTACACACACACATGGAGTATCAAAATTTATAATGAAAAATAAAACAGCTAAATTTAAATAATGTGTACGATTAAGTGCAGAACTTTCCCTTTCATTTGACCATACAATGGACATATCGAAAAAAAATGGCTATGATTTTAAAAAACAGTATTTAGAAATTTTATGAGGAAAAGATAAAACTATTTTCTATTTAAATAACACTGCTACATTTTAGATTTTCAAATCCATGACTTTCCATGAATAATTTCAAGAATTT